AGTAGAAACCACGCCATCCGCACTCCTATGCTCATCTTGTATGTGCGTATCGAGAGCGAGATATACATACATAATATAGATAATTGCATTGTAGTTACACCTATAATACTTACTCCTCGAAAAGCTTCTCAGCCGGTGCTCTCTCTCGACTCAGCGATACACGCCGAGAGGATTAAGGATGTATAATAAATAGTACGCTGCAGTGCGATCTCGAGTATAGCAGCGGCAAATCTACGTATAGTCGGTCACCTACGCACGGCTACTGCTAAACGAGATCTCGAGGGTTCGTTGGCCCCTCGAGCACAAAGATGCAGAGGTGAAATTAACGCGGATAGAAATCCACTTACGGATCGAGTTGGCTTTGTTCGTGTATGTTTGTAATGTAACGCTCGGTGGTAATGTATAGGTATACGGGCACGGAATTGATAAAGCCCTCATGGATCCGTGCAAGCGGCGTATAATCACATTATACCTACGGTGGGGGTTGGCCCTTAGTGGGCCCCGGTCCACCGATATAGTATCCGTGTACGTGTATCTCGCGGGTTATTGGTGGACAATCACCGTTGCATGTAATGCAACTCGGGCGTTTGGTGTACAGTACAGGTTGCACACGGCGATCGTTACCATATATATACACGCATCTCCTACATACATGTCATATAGGAAGCCGTTTTGCTTCTATTTGCCCCTTTCGTTTCCTTACCGTGCCATTGTTCGCCCGCACGCAGTAAATGCATAGGTATACACGCACGCATACACACGGATGGGCTTTTGTTGCTGCTGTTGTTGATGGTTGGGGTTTGGTATGCGATGCCCGTGTATACACGATGGCGCCCCGTCCCTTATATATAATATTACACGGGTACAGTGCCCGCACAACTGCACGCGGTGTAATGAGATGCTTCGAGGGTGCATCGGAGCTCCTATTAGCTTACACGATCGTTCGATTTGCATCGAGGGTGATATGGCTTATGTAGTTGTAGATGTACGTGATCGTGCCTGACCGCGTGCTTTGGTACTTTTATCATTTAATTATGAATATACAGTGCAGAAAAAAACGGTATACCTGCACGCGTCTGTGAAAATAAAATGAGAAGATCTGAGAGGAGGACAAGTTAACGCGAGCAAACGAAAGACAACGACAGATGAAATCCGGGACAACCTCCTATAGTAGCCAAGAGAGAGAGAGAGAGAGATAATTCGGGATCCAGAGAAACTGCATTGGCAAACGCGAGGCATACCGACCTCGAGGTCTTACATCATAATGTTATTTGGGTGGTGGATGACGCATTTTACATTCGAGGCTTGCCTATGTAATCTCCCCGACACACCGGTACAGGTGGTCTATAAGGTGTCGATTAAATTCTTCTCTTGGTCTCCTGTTGAACCCGCGAGCCTTCGGAAGATGATGTATAAACACTTTGCGCGTCGATTCGCAACGGCCGAGCCACGGGGCACCTGTTCGCCATAGCTTAGGGTAGGACATTTTTTTTGGTTTGATTTTTTTTTTTTTTTTTTTTTTTTAAAAAAAAAAAATGGGGGGGAAAAAAAAAAAAAAAAAAAAAAAAATCTTAAAAACTTGAGTGATTGAAGGGGGCTGGGGGAGCTTATCTTGGTCTAATAGAGTAAAAGAGATATGATATAAATGTAATTAAAATATGTTATGAAAAATTTGAAGAAAAATATGTAAAGATAAAATTCAAAGGGGCTGTTCGTCGTAATTGTTGTAGTAAAGGGGGGATCGGGGGCTAACGTACCCAGTCGTGCTGCAAGCGCGTTGAGGGCGTCTCTTGTAAAATTCCACTTCATCCACCGTCCAAACGGCCCCCTTCACGTTTTCGACTCGCATGAAACATTTGTGGAGAGACAGGTTGTGTCGCACTGCGTTCTATACAAAATAATACACAGACTAAATTTAAGCAACGCAAACAAACCAATTTAAGCCCGACTGAGTCGCGAGGCTTCATTGGCGCCGCGCCGTTCGGTGGTTGAATAAAATTTTAAAACATACAAATTAAATTTAAAAAATCATCGTAACCATAGTAATAACAACTATAATAATAATAATTATAATGATAATAATTGGTGCGGAGTTTGGTTGTTGTTTGTTGTTCTATTATAGTGGTATAGTGCTTACTGTGCGGAGAGGTGGGGTGGAGTGGGTGATGGGGTTGGGTCATATTTCCTGGGACGGCCGCGCGACAGATGCCGCCGCTTTACGAACTCGGCGTCGTCCACCATCCAGAATGACCCGAAGTCGTCCTCATAGCGCACAAAACACTTGTGCAACGATAGATTGGTGCGGATCGCGTTCTGTATACACAGATAAACACCACCAAGAAATAGAGAAAAGATAGTACAAAACAAGGTTCAAAAAGGCATTTTTCTTGTTTTTCGCAGTAGTCGTATGGCTGTATTTTATTGCTCGCTCGCCGCTCTGGAAAGAAAGATATAAAAAAAAAAAAAAAAGGTCC